ACTTAAGAACTTTATCATTTTTTTTTGTGAATATACACTTGTTCCAAATTTGATGCCTGCAACACATTGGAACAAAAGCATGTTTATCACTGTGTTTAGTTCCATTTAACAGCACTTAATAACTGTTTTGGGACCAAAGACAGCAACTGATTCAATTTTGACAGTAGGATTTTTTGGCAATTAATCTGTTATGCAAGTCTTCAGCTCCGCAACCATATTGAGTCTTCATTGTCATATTTTGTGATATTTTTCACTTTCAATTGGAGACAGGTCTGGACTGCAGGTAGGTCAGTGTAGCACCCACACTCTCTGAGCACGCAGCCATGCTGTTGAAACGTGCAGAATGTGGCTTGACACTGTCATGTTGAAATAAGCATGGATGTCCCAGAAAAAGATGTTGTATTGAAGGCAGTATATATTGTTCCAAAAGGTGTACAGTGGTGTGAAAAAGTGTTTGCCCCCTTCCTGATTTCTTATTTTTTTGCATGTTTATCGCACTTAAATATTTCAGATCACCAAACAAATTTAAATATTAGACAAAAATAACACAAGTAAACACAAAATGCAGTTTATAAATGAAGATCTTTATTATTAAGGGAAAAAGAAATCCAAACCTACAGGGCCCTGAGGCCCTTTCCTCAGTTAAGGTCAGTGTTCATGACTTCACCATAAGAAAGAGACTGGGCAAAAATGGCCAAGACGAAAACCACTGCTGAGCAAAAAGAACTTAAAGGCTCGTCTCAGTTTTGCCAGAAAACATCTTGATGATCCCCAAGACTTTTGGGAGAATACTCTGTGGACTGACGAGAAAAAAGTTGAACTTTTTGGAAGGTGTATGTCCCATTACATCTGGCGTAGAAGTAACACAGCATTTCAGAAAAGGAACATCATACCAACAGTAAAATATGGTGGTGGTAGTGTGATGGCCTGGGGCTGTTTTGCTGCTTCAGGACCTGGAAGACTTGCTGTGGTAAATGGAACCATGAATTCTGCTGTCTACCAAAAAATCCTGAAGGAGAATGTCCGACCATCTGTTCGTGACCTCAAGCTGAAGCGCACTTGGGTTCTGCAGCAGGACAATGATCCAAAGCACACCAGCAAGCTTTGGCTTAAGAAAAATAAAAATAAGACTTTGGAGTGGCCTAGTCAAAGTCCTGACCTGAATCCGATTGAGATGCTGTGGCATGACCTTAAAAAGGCGGTTCATGCTTGGAAACCTTCCAATGTGGCTGAATTACAACAATTCTGCACAGATGAGTGAGCCAAAATTCCTCCACAGCGCTGTAAAAGACTCATTGCCAGTTATCGCAAACGCTTGATTGCAGTTGTTGCTGCTAAGGGTGGCCCAACCAGTTATTAGGTTTTAGGGAGCAATCACTTTTTCACACAGGGCCCTGTAGGTTTGGATTTCGTTTTCCCTTAATAATAAAGATCTTCATTTATAAACTGCATTTTGTGTTTACTTGTATTATCTTTGTCTAATATTTAAATTTGTTTGGTGATCTGAAACATTTAAGTGCGATAAACATGCAAAAGAATAAGAAATCAGGAAGGGGGCAAACACTTTTTCACACCACTGTATATATATTTCAGTGTTAATGGCCTTCACAGTTGCAAAAGTCACCCATGCCATATATTTGTAGATGCAGCGATGAACAGTGGTTTGTCAAAATATTCCTGAGCCCATGCAGTGATATCCATCACAGTATGCTTGTCATGGGCCTTCAGTTGTGTTTTTCTGCCTTGTTCTTTACGTAGAGAGATTTTTTGGGATTCCCTGAATCTTTTGTTGATATTATGCATTGTAGAGGATGAAATATCTAAAATCCTTGTAACTGCTCGTTGTTCTTAAACTGTTGGATTATTTGCTGACATGGCGAGCCTCAACCCATCCTCGCTCATGAAAAACTAGACTTTTCTTTGATGCTACTTTTATATCCAGGCATGATAGCATGACCTGTTTAAGATGTTTTTAGAACATTTCACAACATTGATCAGGGGCGGGAATCTTTAGGCACCTCACGATTCGATTCGATTACGATTCAGAGGGCTGCCATGCGATTATAAAACGATTATCGATGCATCTTTTTTCTATACAGGATTTCTATTTTCTTACTGTGTCAGGACTTGGTACTTTTAAAGCAAAGTATTTGTAATGATCCATAATGCATTTACCTCTAATATCTTTTATTAATAAATCAAATGGAAGTGATGTGGCAAGTGAACTAGAAGGCTCTCATTCGCTGCTATTGTTTAGAGCACATGAGACGCTGCTGCCACTCATCTGCGATAAAATGCGCAGTTACGGTGAAATAAGATCCAGTGGTAATGGATGTCCACGCAGCACGTTACAGCCGTCCTGCCCGCTTAATTCAGTGATTTTATAACTTTGGTTTTGGTCTCGTTGTAGAAAGAGGGGGGGTCGCTGTGTCAGTAAAATATCTTCGGGACGTGTGCAACATAGCGCGAAAGCCCTGTTTCGCAACGACTGAGAACTGGCAGACTGCAGGTCACATAGCAACGATGCGTTATTCGCATTTATAAGCGGCGCAGTTGTTTCACGGCGAGCTAAATCTGCGACGAGAGACTCAAACACTAAAAAGCTGCGAAGATGAAGTCGCTTCTCTTTCAAATTTTCCCATTCCACCTTAAATGGTGCCGCATTTACACTCGGCGCCTCAGTCAGAATTTAAGGTGAAATGGGAAAATTCGAACAAGAAGCGACTTCAGCCTCGTAAAACAGCCGAACTTTGAGAGACATTTTAGAAGAAACCGATCTACTTTAGAGGAAAAGTTTTCTGGCAGAGATGGGAGGAAAGCGACTATAGCTAAAGCTAAAAGCAAAGTAAATTCGCGTTTTCGTTTATATTTTTAACCTAACTTATAGCAGGACATTAACACATACTGAGACATGCTGGACATTAAATGTTGTGGCTCAAGGTGGTTTGAATTTTGTTGAAAGGACAAAATGGCTTTTGGGTTGTGACTCCTGACCTGACCTGGCTTTTAAAGCAGAGGGTGCCGGTCGGATTTCTCACTCATCCCGTTGTTTTTGTTATGTGCCGCCACAGACTGTCCGGGCGCTGCACTTCCGCACTTCCAGGTTCCGCCTTTTACATTACGTCAACATTACGTTATAAATTAAATATTTAGAAAATCGATTTTTGACATTTGTGAATCGATTCAGAATCATTCACGTCCGCGTCGCGATGAATCTAAGAATCGATTTTTTTCTCGCACCCCTAATATTTACAAAAAACAATAATGTCGATAAGGTAAAACATTAAATATCTTATCTTTATACTATTTTTATTTAATTACAGGTCAAAGTGGACATTACATACTCTCCCAAGTTTTTTGGAATTGAGGCTAGTAGTACATATACCACCTTTCATATATGAAAAGCAGTGTTACATACATAAAATTACAAGGTGAGAGAATAAACATTAATAAAAGAAGATCAAAATAAAAGAAGCATGATTATTAAAAACAAAATTAGTAACCCAAATAAAAAAAAACAACAAAAGTAAGAATAAATGTTCTTCAAATCAGCAGAATGCGATGTTATTTCAGAATTGGGAAAGGGATACATGAAAGCCTAAAGGGTCAAATATCAATGACAGTTCCATATTACGACAAAGAAAACAGTCCTGGGTCAGAAACACAAGCAGACACACCCAGAGAGAGAGGACATACCGCCTGACAAAAGTTCAGGGATCTTGTCTTCTTTTGAAATTTGAATCTTCCGGCTGTTACTTTTCAAGTAAGACAAAATTCATGTAGATGTTTTGTTAATATAAAACGGTCACACCCAGCTTCCTGTTCATTCTTGATATGAAGTGAAGGCTGTGTCTAAGAAACATTAGTTTCACTGTTATTTAAAGCACATATTCAGCATTTTTTGCTCTCATGTGCTTCAAACAGCTTAGTGCCGACATTACAACAAGGGGTTAAAATGTGCAGGACATGACATTCTTCTCAATGTAGGACTGTCACAAATACTATGGGATATGTGCATAGTCTTTATTGTTTTGCAGTATTGCTGTAACAGAAACTACAAAGAAATCATGCTTATTTGTATTTAAACATTTTGAAAACCTCCAACGTTTGCTAGGCATTGCGTAACCATCCCAGTAATCATGCACTCACACACATTAAAGGTGACGTGTTAACCAGCTGTTGTATTGTGAAGTGCCTTTAGCTTTGTCTAAAGCACACATCTGTGAAGGTACCTGTATCCCCCATAACTGTTCCTCCAGAAGGAACCTTTCTACACAGCCTTGTGTGCAGGTATGTGTGTCTGTTTGTGAGCTGTGTGATAATGTCAGTACATGATTAGGCATATTGTTGACTAAGGCTGTCATGATTACGCAATCAAACTCAAACACTTCATTAAAAAAACACTATTTAAGGCGGAATTCAATTGATTTTTCCAAAAGTTGGCATTATCAAACAATAAAGATGTAAAGAAAGTTGATACAGTAGTTTGATGTATTCTAGAGAAATGTACTAAATTAGTATTGTTCACGACAGTAGTGATAGGAATCACACATCCAAAGTGCTCTAAAAGCTACCTCACAGAAAGTTGTTACTCAAAATGCTGAAAATAATACATGGTGATGCCTGAGACACTGTTTTTCGATAGTTTTGAGATAAAGTTTTGGCCTAAAATTATTTTTTTTAAAACCTTCACAGCAGAGAGTACAAGCATGTTGTTATAGGCCAAAATAGTCCCAAAATGAAACTATTTTTTAAGACACATTTAGGTTTACTGCTCGTTTTAGATAGCAAATAAAACGGTTATATTTGCATTGTAGACAGCGCAAGCCCTGGTTCCTATCACCACCACTGTAAAGAAATCTAATTGGGGAAGTCTCTCTATGACACACCATTTCACATCTAACTATCCTGAGTGACTTTGTTTACATCTCGATCAAATTACACAGAAATTTTGGAATTCCTCTTTAAGGTTCAGCACTCATTAGTTGACAATAACTTACCTGGTTGATGTGTTTAAGTTTGTCAATGATCTGGCTGATGACAGGCTCGGGGGGCTTTTGTTTGGTCTCTGAACCATGAGGGTGGGCCCTCCGCAGTCCTGGACCAGGAAACCTGTTCAAACACATCAAAGACATCAAGTCATGCACACACTTATACATCATACAACCCAGTTCTACACACATTCAAGAAAACATAAGCAAAGTCTGCTTTAAAGTCTGACTGTGGCCTGCAAGTAAGTTATGAGTTGTAAACATGGACTATATTGCCACCTAGAGGTGAAATAAATATGGCCTCAGGAATCTTATAAACTGATACGAGCCCAAGAAATTTTATGTTTCAATAACGGTCCTAGTAATACTCCACAGTCAAAATCTCCAGTTCATAAATATGCTGAAACACATGACAGCACTTCAGCATAAATAAATAAAGTAATGAAACACCCTGGATTAGAAAGGAAATTAGACTTCTCTACTTTCCAAGACGATCCCTGTTTTCTGAAGTGATTTCTGGATTACGCACATCAGACCTGCATACAGTTTAACAACACATAGCCGAGCACTAGGGATAATGACTCTAAATGCCTTCCTTCCAGCATGTCTATCCAGACATGAAAGCAGCCAAACTGGGTCAGATATATACAAGAATATCTTAACGTCTCTGGAAATCAGTTACATATGATACGCTCACGGTCTCCGAGTCGGCGTGTGTGTGTGTGTCTGTGTGTGTATTTAAGACATGCACCAGGCTTTCCTCTCTCCCACAGGACCAATTGCGCTCATGTTCCAGTAGATTACTCCCTATTAAAATGTAATTAGTGCTGATGCGCAGAGGCACGGTAGGACAAGCACTGAGGGAGGCAGAAGCAGTGAGAGTGACACTGCCACACAAACCACACACACACATGCACAGTGTAAAGGACTATGCAAAAAACAGATGTTTCATTTATTAAGTTTCCAGTTAAAACCACCTTCAAGTACAAGTGATTTTTCAGGACATATTTCTGAAGATATAAGTTGATCCATTTGCATAAGGAAGGGGAAAGTCAAGTTTCCAAAACTGGAGTTTAACTCTCTGGGGCCTCAGGGCATGTTCTTAACATTTGCACATCTTTTCAAAGTCACCTTTAAAGGCACTTGCATAACATGATACCCATATGTTTAATATCAAATGTCTGTTATCTTTGTCACGTCTTTCCAAAACTGCTGCTGCAACTTCAGTGGCTGTAATCTTTTTGCACGCCATTTCATATGTGTCTCTGACATCGACTGAATGAAGTATGAAGGGTTTCCAGTGTGATGTGTCAGTTCTTAATGATTTCCTGGGTGTCCATTAGCGAGTTTCACACAAAATGTAGATGGACAAATGAATCTACCAATTATACATGGTGAGAGGCAGATGACGTGTATCTTAACCCCTCTTCATAGTCTCATAACTCCAGATGTGGGACACATACAATCTTGTGATTAAATGGAATGGAAAGGGTGACAGATTCAGGAAATGTTTGAACTGTATTTCTGTGCTGCCTTATCACAAAGATAGAGAAACAAAGACACATCAAATTTGATGCGCAGGCGAGTTTGTGGACCTCAGAGAGTTAAAAGAATATGAAAAGCTCACATCCTACATCTTTAACTTTAATATTTCCCTTGGGGTCCACTTATAACGTCGGGGTGGTTTTATGTATCAAATGTGGTCATAATAAATTTTTTAAGTTTTCCAACCTCTCTCTATCCAATTTAAACATGTTGTTTTTGTTACTGTGCCTTTAAAATGCATTTAAGATAAATGAGATCAGTTCTGATTGGCTGTCCTGTGTTCATTCAAAAAGCAAAAAAGTAAAACACTCCTTAGAACTTCAACGGGAGTGGGAGGAGCTAAACTGCTGTAGGCTGAATAGGTGGATTTACATATAAGCATTAATTCAGCTTACGGCAGTTTATCAGTTCTGTGAAACAGTGAGTTCACAACTGGCCTTTTTTGCAGCTTAGTTTCCACATATGGACTGTATGGACTGCGTAGTAAATTTGAATTTACATTTTGAATTTTTGATTTCACTTCAAAACCCTTTATTTCAAATAAAAAAGTGGAACTCCTAACAACAGTGCAAGACCTGGTAGACCACCAAAACCATCAAATAAACAGTACTTAAAGCTTTCATCTTTGAGAGAGAGGAGAAAATCAAGCTCCACAGCTGCATCAGATCAAGATTCTTTCCTTCTATCCTTTCACAGGCAAGTCAACACTATGAGTCTGAAAGGATGTGTAGCTGTCAAGACGCCATTACTGAAAAGAGGAAACAAAAAAAAGGAAAAACTGCAAATAATCAGACTAATAGACTGACCACCCCAGAGTCCAGACCTCAACATCATTGAATAATTCTGTCTACTCTGCTGTTTCAAATGTAGACGATAAAAACTCATCTTCATATCGGAGAAAGCAAAGTCAAAAGAGTGTTGTTGGAGTGACAGAAAGCTGAAATTAAACTGCTCTGTAGTGTTTTGAGCTGTAGCCTCCTGGGCTAGGCAACCGTTAGCATACTGTTAGTTAACAGGCTAAATGTTCCTGCTAACTGATACTCAAATAAAAGATGTTTAGAAGATAAAGACTCAGAGAGCACAAAATCAAGTGTCTGGTGTTGGAGTGACAACCGAAATCAAACATGTTCTGTAGCAATTAGCAATCAAACATTTAGCAATTAGCTTGTTAGCCTCTGCTGAGCCACTCTATTGTGTAGTTTTCATCAGTATTTCCTGATTCCGACTCAGCAGCACAGCAGATGGAAACAGAACCCATAACTGTTCTCACGAGTCCGCGCTAGCACAGAACGGTATGGTGCTGAGAACCATTTGGCTCTACAATGGAAAAGAGGCGCTTGAAATCGGATAACAGACTTAATACCTTAGAAGATATGGTAATATGCTGTTTATCTAACCACATAAATAATCAAGCAACTGCCCAAAATCAGTGCTTGTTTAAAATGATTGTTTAAAACTGTTTCATTAGTATGAATGTAAAGTTTCTTATTAACAAATGTGACTATGGTAGAGCCCATTACCTGTGATCACAAGCCACAGACAAGTAACATTCATCAGCATCAAACTAAGTAATATAGATCAATAAGATTAAACACACGCACAGAAGTTAATAAGTTGAAAATAGAGCTGATCAGGGAGTCAGGCAGAAATATGAGATCATAGTCCATTCTTGGCAACGACATAACCCTGAACACTTCCCATTGAGTCATCTTTCACTGCCTCATCACCTCTTTGCCCTGCCTCTTCATTAAGCCAAATTACATTCCCGTGCTTATTTTTTCTCCTTATTAGTCCTGATGGCAGCCCACCTTCCGTTCTTAATTATCACATTAATAATACAGACACATACTCTATTAGAAAAGGAGGTGATGTGAAAATTTAGGCAGAAGAGATGAGACAAAAAGCACACAAACCTGCAGTGGGTTCCAGTAATTCTAGCTCTCGGACTGTATCAGTAAACTTTGCAAAACAAAGTTTTTTGATTTTTGTAGGACTACCTGGCAGACCAGCCTTCAAGAGTGGCAGTCTGTTACTGAGTCACTGACTGACCGGGTGTCTGACTGATCCCCTGTTTAAGCAAGTGTTGCCCGAGACAGAAGCTGCCTTCCAAAAGCTAGGTTGCAGCCGATAAATTTGGGTCGTTTCTAGACCCGCCCTATGAAGGCTTCTCATTTGTGTTTTTGGGGTGAAAATGGGCCAAAATGCCCCATAACGCCCCAGAACCCCATTCCAGAAGTTATAGTCAAGATGGAACAGAATTCAGGCTTGAATCCCAAAAACCTAGGTGATTTTCATAGGGAAATCGCATATAGGAATGAGACTGTTTCCACAATAAGAGCTCCCTAAAGTCCTGTTTGAATGGACTATTTGCAAACAGTCTTACCATTATTATTATTATCAGTAGGATTTTTGCCAGCTGTAATAATAATATTAAAGTTAATCATTTAGCTGATGGCAGTCCTGCAAAACTACACTTGCCTAGTTTTTGTTTGTCTGATTTATCTAAGTAAATCTGACATTTGTGTTGAGTTTAATTTGTCCAAGTACAGCATTCCTATAAAGCAACAGAATGTATAATGTCATGTTAAAATTCTGATTCCAGGTATATGAGTCCTCTTTCAATTATTACGGCAGCCACTCCATTTAATAATACACAAAAACCTATCACGAGTGCCACAAACTTGCTCAGACAATTTTGGAACAGCAGCAACTTAGATTTAAGGAATTCCTGCAACTACATCTGAAATGACATCACCTCTCCGTTCTCACTGGATCAACCAGCTGGGTATGTTTTATATGTCACATGTTAAATTATGTACATATTTCAAACAGTAAATAACGTTTTTTTTATGCATTGCATAATATCTTGTAATGATATAGGACAAAAAATAAATAAATAAAAAAGATTTCAATAAATAAAGGAGTAACCCTAAAAAAACAGGAATATATACCTATTCAGCCTACAGCAGTTTATCTCTGCCCATTCACAATGAAGGAGTGTTTTAGCTTGGACTGTGTTTTGAATGAGGCACAATACATGGCAGCCAATCAGAACGAAGTTAAATCAGAAGTTAAATATCAATTTTAAAGGCATAGTTACTGTATTTAATTCTAAGGGGTAAAGAAAGGTTGAAAAATAGTCATGTAAAAATAAATTAGGGCAGTTTTTAGTACATGTAGTAATGTAGGATATGTAGTGATGTAGGATATGATTTTTCCATCTTCTGTGAAGTTCTAGTTATTAAAGAGATAAGTGTGAGATACAAACTCCAAAGTTCTAGATAATTATTTTGAGCACCATGATGGTAAGTTCTCAGATAGTTCACCTAAATTACACTGAAATGCCAAACAGGTTCTAGATATTAAGTGTAGAGCACAAACTTCCAATTGCTGTGTAATTATTTTGTTTTGAGTAAAGCGTTGTCAAGTAACAGGTTCTAACTATTTAACTTTTTGTAGCTCACACTTTGCACCTAACCTACCTGGTTAATATCTAGAACTCAGGGGACTGTAAATGCATTACCAACTAAACAACTGGGTTAACAGCCATAATAGGTTACATGTTTTCTTTACAGGCTCACCATTATTTTTGGTAACCTAATTGTTTTGTTAATTGGAGAGGACTGTGTTGTTGTTCACATAAATAATTATAGCAGAATAAATGTTTGCCTGTTACAAAGATGTGGAAAGTTAGCATCCTCAGATGATTTGTTTTTTTAGATGATCAGCCTTCCACCAACACGAGCATAGAAAGCTGCACTGTCTCTATCAGCAGTGGGAACCTTGGCCATGCAGGAGCCCACTCAACCACAGCGTAGTGAGACTTAAAGAATGTCAGGTATCCAAATGTGGAAATAGTTTGATGCACTAAATGTTTCGGCTGATTCAGTCTCTTTATGTAAATCATAAGTCTACTCCAATTCTTGGGTTAGAATCTACTGTCATGTTTGTAGTGTTTTTTACATTCTGAAATATTACAATAACAATAAATTAAAGTTTTCTTTTTACACCTGTCATAGTGAAAGCAGAGGCTACTTAAATGTCTATTTTTAATTAGTAATGATGTTCAGGAAACAGCAGAACTTTTTCTAACAGCCTTCCCTACCTATAGTGGAGTAAAGATTACATCTCTCATGTTTACAACACTCTTTTTTTTTTTTACATGAGTTACAGATTAGAAAAATAATAAATGACAAACCAATAAAATTTGGATACTTATTATTCACTGCCCTGCAATGAAACAACCACAGTTTTTATTTAAAAACTCAACTCATAATAAATCCAAATCTTTCAACTTTGTGATCAATTTTAATCAAGTTAATCAAGCAGCTCTTCATCAAAGCAACACATCAACTTCACTTTAAAACAAAATCAAAAAGATCAAATATCAAAAAAATGGAAGTAATATTTTCACAAGTTGTAATTTAGGGGTGAGGGTTTGAGACGGACACCTCCCAACAGAAAGTACTCTCTAAATGATGATTTTGTATATGTTTAGCTTATTATTATCTCTATTAATGTGTCCAGTGTTCAAATAGACCGTAACATAATCCTTGCAAATATCTAAGGTCTGAATACTTTATTGTTTTTCTAAATAGTTTTACTGTGGGAGAACTAATTCATTAGAATCGTCCATAAACAGCATATTCCAGTTGTAATATGGTCACAGATGACATTGAAAATTGAGAGTTCTCATATACTGTACTGATGCTCTGGCCTGTTTCTCCCTCTCCTATCTCTGGTCCTATTTACCTCCAGAGGGTGTGAGTGGCCTCTGCCACTGCTCTGACTGTCCCCTGAGGCTAACGGCTTATCAGGCTGCTGTGACTGGGCCGGTGTCCTCTCCTCACCTCCACACTGAGAATATGGAACACCTGAATGAGCAGCTCCACCAAATAATGCTGACACATACAAACAAACAGTCAGGCACAATAGTGACATACAGACTGTGCTGCACTGCCAGCTATAGCAGAATGAGGACACATTCAAGAACCAAATGAGGATGAATGCAAACACGCAGACAAACAAACACACTCCAGGCAAAGCTTTAAAGTAGTCACTAATGGCAGAAGACACCATTATTGAATCCTAAGCTACACGGAAGTATACAAACACACATAACAACAGCAGAATCTTCATGGCCTGTCCATGCAATGTGCACATATTAACTCAGCGAGATGAGATCCGGCTCTACTTAAAGCTCTTATAATAATGTCACTGATACACGAATGGCCTGCATTACCCCAGCTCAGATTGAAAGCAGGACAAAGTTATGATACAGCGAGGCACAGGGACGTGGGGCAAAGTGAAATATAGCAAACTTCAAATTGGGTTCCACGGGGTGCGTGGAGAGCCAGGCAGAGGCGTGAACACGATCGAAGGAGCAATTAAGCGAGCGGAGGGAAGCAACAGCGCCACTGACATTAATAACCCTTCACGCAGCCCGAGCTCAGATTTACACCCCGACGCCTGTCAGGAGCGGGCTGGAGTGTGCCGAGCTCATCACTTCTCGACAAACACAACCTTCAGCTCACCTAGCTCCACTCTCTCTGCCTCAGGCACGTACGCTGCAGCTTCATTCAGCTGCTTCTAATATAAACAGTACCTCAGTATTGGATTACAAACATTTCTATATAATCACTTTCTTCAGGACTTTATGGCATGGCAAATATTCTTGGCAGCAATGCGGTAGGACGAATATATAACATTCTCCCCTACAAATAGCATCTAGACTTGAGACCAGGGATGGACACCAAACGGGCCTACTGGGTACAAGCCCAGGGGCCCCAGCCACTAGGGGGCCCTCAACCACCAGATGTTCTTGATTTATAATGGATTGGCCATTTTGCTAGTTTTTTGCTATTAGAGATTTCTTTGCCATGTGTCTTGCCCATAGTGAAAGTACATGCTGAAATGAACATTGGGAAGATCCAGTACGTATTCATACATCAAGTGGGAGGTACTTACATTGGGGTTTCATTGGATTTTCTTTTCATTGGAAAAAATGCATTTAACCCATTAAAATCCCAGGCTTATTACATACTGAGGCCTATTATTCAGTAACTACACGGACCTCAATGCAAACTGGCTGAGTTACTCTTAAGTTATAGAAGTGTGTAATAAAACTTCAGATCCTGGCCATTTAAGAGGTTAATGAATGTACATATATGAACATTCAGTATGAGATCGTTACATTGGTTGAATTTCTTACATTTTTTTAGATACCTGCATGTCTGGGACTGCTGTAAGTAAGCATCTGCCCATGTTTAAGAAAGTTGAACCAAACTGGTTTGAAAGGCATTTTATTTTAGGTGCCACGTTAGCACAACCTCTACCCATGCTTTGTGATTCTTTACTAGGTTACATTACTCTATCCACTGAGAATATTAACGCATACTAGGAGCAAGAATTAGGGATACAGATTCAGTATTCACTCTGGGAGGATGCACTAGAGGGTATACACATGTTCTCAGCAAATTTAAGGCACCGTCTTATACAGTTTAAGATGTTGCATAGGCTACACTATGCAAAATTCAAGCTGCACAAAATCTTCCCCCAGCTGTCTCCCACACATGACAAATGTCAAGCTGAGGAGGCAACACTTCTTCGTAGTTACATCCTCTGTGCCAAATGAACACCGTTTTGGGTTGATGTTTGTCAGACTCTCTCAGAAATCTTGGACAAAGTACTGCACCCTGACTGTTGAGGGTATGAGGAGCTGTCCAATCTTAAGAGATCCCAGTAATAATTGCTATCTGATGTGCTTATAATAGCAAAAAACTTATACTAAGATCCTGGAAGAGGACAAATTCCCCATCTGTAAAAGTGTTGTTTAATGAAATAACTGGCTCTAACACTTGAAGAAAAGTTGCCAAAAATGAATAAATGCATGAATGAATGAATGAATAAATAAATAAATAGATAAATAAATAAAATAGGCACCCCTCCTCTGAAATGCAGACAGTGTTAACCATTGAATTAACAGATGACATCGTCATGTATCAGGACTGTGATTTGACTTAAGTGGAGGTCTCTTGGAGGGGAGGAGGGTTTGGGGGGGCTGTTCCCATGTGGGTTTTTGTTTCTTTGCTTGTTTTTTTAACCTATTATAATTTTTTATAATGTCGTTATGGTCGTAAGTGTTGTTTGGCAGGTTCTGAGGAATGGTGTAAAGAAGAAATATCTTTGTAAAATACTGTAATCTGTTTATCCTAACCCCCTCAACAAAGAAATACTAAAACAGATAAAAAAAAAACAAAACAAAACAATACAACATCTTCTTAACTGCATTTCATTGAAGCTCAAAAATGGCCTTCAACTCTACCTTTACTTTAACTCTGGACAGTTTTTAGCAACCTCAAAACGAACAGCTATCGAAGGAAGCGGCTTTGCTGGAATGAAAATACAGCTCAGTCCTCACTTCCCACAGCTGAGCTCCCATGCAGTGGAGTTGTTTTCGTATAATGATACATGCAGCTAGTATTCCACGTGCCTTGCATTATGCATCTTGGCCTGAACTTTCTAAAAATAATAAAAAATGTGGACAAAAAAATAAACAAACAAAAACATGAACTTATGCAGCAATGGCAGAGGTGCCCAACACTGCAGTCGGTGTGAAACTCACACACTTTTGAGTAGGGGCCCTGCTGAGGTTCGTGCCCAGGGGGCCCAGGATTTCTTAATCCATCCCTGCTTGAGCCATGGTGCATACGCAATGCATGAATGTATGTACCATATGTTAGTATGCCTTGAAGAAATAAACAAAAAACCAAGCTGGGATGAAAACTGTATTCATCACAGCCTTGCTCTTGTTTACTCACTTGTCTGTCATCTCCTGCCCATTCCAGCAGAGGGAGCTGTTGAGTGCTGCTGGCTCTCGGTTGCACAGAGCCTCCCCGAGCCCACCATAAAAAAGACTGAAGCTCCTCAGACTCTGGATAAACTCTCTGAAAAAAACAAATAAGACATACAGAAGAGTCAAAAAGAAAGTGTGGAGTGATGGTGTAAAAAAATGGCACTAGTGAATATCAGCAAAATTAGCTAAACCAATGCAAATTAGCAAAATGCCAGGAGGGAAAAGGAAGAAACGAAAAGCAGAGAAGAAAAGAAGCAAACAACTGAGCAAAGGGGCTGAAGAGGAGGGAAAAGCCTGTGAAATCAGATCAACTCTGTTTCATCTCGTTTCCTTTCAGAGTAAGTTGATTTGTGGTGTTTTGACGGCTAATTGACATTGAGGCTCAGACTGCACAGCCTGCTGCGCCGGCCCAGCCTCACTCATCTGTTCATCAGCGAGAGGGAGAGTGGAAACACACAGGATGGAGGGGGCAGCAGGCGGCTCAATGTCACTGTCACGGCAGGAGACAAAGCCAGTGTTAATGAGCCCCTCTCTGTCACCATCGACCCACATACACACACACACACACACACACACACACGAGTGTGTGCACACATACAGACACTGACATACACATTAGGGATTCACCGAACATGAATTTTTGAGGCCAACTCCAATTCCGATTCCACGTGTGGCTGATGGACAATTTTTGGCTGATTTTTGTTTGCATTTAAAAGAAATACCCAAAGTTCCCACTGTATGGGCTAAATGAACACAAGAAACACATTAGCACATTTTCAGTACTTTTTATTAGCCAAGGTCTCAGTATAAATGATCCTATTTGCTCTTTAATAGGTCAGACTGGCCTTTTTATCTTAAATGAAAAATGAGCTGCCTATTTAAATAACACAAATCAAATAACTACCTTGCTTTTTTAATCAAAAGTAAGAGGCAACCAGCTATTTAACAAAATGAGTGAGGTATAATTATGCTACAGCATTTTGGTACCGGTGTAGCAGCAGCATTCAAATACAGCACTGGTGCTTATCTGGCTCACATTATTTATGCCACAAAATTGCAACACAGATCGGACAAAATCAAAATAAAAAACTGCTGATAGCATGTTTGGAACAAACTCCTGATGCTGATCATGCATCCCTAATATATACACACATACATGTATGGGTACATACATATGGAAACCAACACTATACACTATACATTCATAAATCAGAGACCACCTTTCAGTTATTTCCAAACATCATAAAATAAAAGTTATTCATTTTTAGGCATTAAAAGATTATCAGGAAATATTTTAAACAATATTTCACAAAAACCTCCAACACAGATATAATTTAAAATCTATCAGTGTTTAATTTGACCATTATTCTGCACTCTACTGCCACTTTGAAGAGTCACTTTCATTTCATTCCGCTTCAAAGAGACACTAACATTCACACAAGCAACTACCCAAACACACCTCAGCTGCCCTGCAGATTTCTTTCTCATGAGGATCCAAAATGGTTAAAGGAGATATTTTTGAGGAGGTTAAATATCAGATAACCCACTTGCATTAGTTAGAGGAAAGCCATAGGATAATAAGTGAAAAACAGGAGTTTCCAAAACAAGATATATATATATATATATATATATATATATATATATATATATATATATATATATACACCATTATACATTTTATTATATATAAAATGGTACTCTTAACAACCAGGCATCTGTCATCATCAGATAAACAGCACCTAAAGCTTTCATCTTTAAGAGGGTGGAGGAAATCAAGATGTACTCAGCTTCAGATCTAAAAAAAATCCTCAGGTGTTTCTGTCCATCCTCCCACTGTGAGAAGATAACTTAATTCTATGTGTAGGATGCAGCTACACAAAGCATGTGTACCTGCAAAGAAGCCACTATTGAGAAAAGGAAAGAGACCATAAGAAGACAATTTGCTCTAGAACAAGCAAACTGGACAGATGAGTGGTTTTATGGACTGATGAGTCTAATTTGAGATTTATATGTGCCAGTGAACAAGACCATGAACCATGTCTACAACCATCAGTAAAGCATGCTGGAGGATCACTGTAAGTATGGGGATATATAACAACATCCAGAATTGGTGATTTGTTTTTGACTGAAGACATAATTAATGCTGAAAAGTATAAACAAATCTCAATATTTCATGCAACACTCTCTGGGCAATGTTTGATTGGGAGGAAATTCAATCTAAAGCAAGATAATGACCCTAAGCACACTGCTGAGGAGATGCTGGTGTTCTTAAAACAGTGGACTGGCCACCCCAGAGCCCAGACCTCAACATCACTGAATGTGTTTGGGAATACTTGGAGCATAAAAATTAAATACATGAAAGGGTGGTCACCATATTGTATACCTATCTTTACTGTTTTAAAATAACCATGTCTTCAATAAATATTGTTCTGCCCTAACTGTAACCTTACCAACTAAAATAAATAATACCTTTTTTTTATTTACATCTTTCTTATGAATGCTGCATTCTTGTGCAAAAGAAACATCCACATGAAGACCATAAAAATGTCCTTGCAACATCAGAATGTTCATGTTTTCCTTGTGGTTATTTGGCCCTCACAAATGATCAGAGGAGTAATAACACAATCACACATACACAAACACTCCCACCCACACCGACTTGGTTGGCCTAGTCTGGGGAGCATCACTCATGCCCTCATTAAGTGGACGGCCCTGTGTGAGCTGAAAGCGAGCCCTATGGAAAGGTCAGCGAAGGTTAAGGGCAGAAGCAGAGGACAGCGCTGATGGTAAAGCTGGTGAGAGAGAGCACCAAGAGTTTCTGGAGTGCTGCACTGGAGAGTCATCTATTACAGCACGACAGACAGCTCTCAAGACTGCCCTTCTAACAGACAGCAGCAGATTGTTTGAGTTGTACAAATGGCACAAATGCACTGTGAGTGGGTCCAATCATTATTCAGTCATTAGATGCTATATTGACTTACTGTCATTTTTTTTTCCCCCACAAGTGGAGTAGAACATGTCTGGGGAACAAAAGAGGGCTCCACCAGCATAAAGTGCAGCAGCATTATGTATACTTGAAGCATTTGTATCTCAAGTAGCCAAGCACTGAGAATTGGAGTGTGTGTGAAATCCTTCTGGACAGGTAATCTGATTTTTTGAAGGGTACAGCAAAAGTCAGAGACCTCGTTTCAGTAATTTACTTTCCAGCCAACACGAATACAAGCTATTCATTAATCAGTGCCAGAAAAAATGAGAAAACGCATTTAACAGTTTATTATCCAGATGCCTTAACAACTAAATATAATAACAGATTTAATACTGAGAGTGTCTATCTTTTGCCTTTATTATAGCTTCATTCTTTTCAATAGACTTTCTTTCAGTTTTTCAAAGAATTTGCAGGGATACTTTTCCACACCTCCAAAGTTCAGTCTTAAAAGATGGTTGCATTTTCTGCTTTTCATTATTGCTTTATTTACTTTCCTCCTTACTTATGCAAGTTAATTATCTTACATCTACCTGCCTCAGAAACATCCCCTGAAAAATGAATGGCTTGTTTCTGATGGTCATTTTGACTGGAAATTAGTAAATAAAGGACAGTCTAGGACTTTTGCACAGCACTGTACATCAAGGCAGGGGCTTTATGCACAAGACACACATACAAGACCATTTCTACACATGGTCTGAACTCTGACCGTGTTAAGTGATGCAAAGAATAAGTTTACAGTTTACAGTGTTAAAGCCTCTGTTGACTCATTTTTCATTTTAACAGAGTTATCATTATGCACACATTTGCTACTTACTTTCCTCTCTCTAACATAAAGTGACTCCTCTCCTGTTGCTCCGAATCCCAGCCAAAACCCCCAGCAAGTAGGTTATTTAGGCTTTTTTGAAATTTGTTAACAGTGCTTGTTATGAAGGTTTATTACACCTCTGCTTGCAGTGTGGCCTACAAAAGGCAATTAATTATCATTTACGAGAGCATAATAGCTAGCATTCCACTTTAACTGTAGTAATAAAATTATATGTTAGCTCAGTAATATGTTAGCTACCTCATCATTTTAGCTAATATAATGAGAGCTTAGTTAGCAGACCAAACGTGCCAAAAATCACAGCATAGACTTGGTTCCAGCTAACTGATGCTAAAATGACACCCATTTAGAGGATTTCTGAGATTGGAAAGTCAAGTGGCTGGTGCTGGAGTGACAGAAAGCCAAAATCAAATGTATTCTGTGATGTGTTTAGTTCTCAGCTGTTGTTAAGCCATCATCATGCTTAGTTTTTTCAGGTTTTTCCTGGCTCAGATTTTCGCCTCTTTCTATCAGCTCTATCTATCGGTGAGCTCTAACACCACCAATCAGTGAGCTCCCCTAAAATACTGTGGCATTAGAGTACGCTTTGGTTCCTATGATGCTTTGCTCATGCTTAGCTGGGCTGTATTTATTTCTTAAAACAGTAAGTAAAGGTTTTCAGTTGCACTGTCAAGTATTAATGTTAACATTATGTTATGTGAATGCTCGAGCAGCTTGGCTAGGTGCTGTGTTTAGGAGTGTTAGCTACTGTCATCCAGGTTTGGGTCCTGATCTATAACCCCCGGGATTATGTTGCAGGCTACAGACATGCTAGATGTTTAAAGAGTATATTTACTCTTTCTGGAAATAAAAGTGATTTCCCTCTCTTGAATTCTGGCTGCTGAGTCCATTTTAAACAAAGCTGTGTTATGTACATGAGCTCCAAGTTGCCTATGCTTTATCAGTTCTTCAACTTCTTCAAAAGTGACAGCACAAGCGGTAAAAACAGAATGATCCCTTTGGAGGTGCAGGGATCTGGTGGGGTGCCAGGAGGACAAGAAGTTGCTGTGAAGAACCAGGCCAGGGGGCCCAGCAGAAGAGTACACTCTCCCAAAGACAGCAAAAGAAAGCAGCAAGCTGCTGTGAAACATGGAAGACCAGCAGATGGGCCATCCCCCTGCCCTGGGGATGCCAATACATCTGCCTAAAGTAAGGCGTTAAGATGGTACAGAGAGCTCATCAGCTTACCTTGGGCAATTTGAGACAGTTTTGGCAGGGTGGGTAGATCTAGCGGAGGCCATGCAGTTAGTCTCAGCACAGGAAGGGCCAGCCCTGCAGGTACTATTAGATCTCCCTGCCGACGTTACTGTAACTTGGTACAACCTCGTAGCCAGTCTGGGGAGGCGCTTGGAGCTGATATAGAAGATATGGTGGTACTTGCCGATGAGCAGTGTGTGGCCATGGCAACTTGACTGAGGGAGGCTTTACAGTGGGCTGAAGAGATGGAGGCAATTTTGTGAGAGTTTGCTGGTTACATAGAGGTTCGTACAGTGGTGGGAGCAGATAGCAGCGACAATAAGAGGGAGGAAGAAGAGGCTATCAGGTCAGTTTCCAGGGCAACAGGGGCACCTGAAGGCTCAGTGCCTTCAGAAGTGGTGCTTGGCAGGCACCCAGACCTTGAGAAAATGGCAGCAGGCAGGAGTAGAAGAGGGTACATCCCACTACCCAAGCGCTTATGGTGCCATGCAAGCTGGATGGCAAGGAGTTAAAGGCCCTAGTTGACACTGGTTCCACAATCAGCATAATGAAGCCAGGGGTTCTGCCATGCAAGTGGTCCTGGTAGCCAACAAAAGTGCGACTGTAGACTATGAAGGGGCAGACTGCCCATATGGATGGCAAGTAATGGGTGACACTCAAGACTGGGGGCAGAAGTTACCCCGCCATTTAGCAGAGGTGGGTGATGTTTGCATTCTGGGGTTTGATGTGCTAGGGGCCCTGAATACCACAGAACAACCAATGAGCCCTGGGCTGTTGGTAGACAGGGTTCCAGTTGATATGGTGCACCGGGCAGAACTGAGTCATGTCAACACTGATGGGCTGCACCCAGTCCAGTTACATGGTTGTAGGAAATGTTCCACCAGTAAGGAAAGGATGGAAGCAGTCTATTAGTTGGTCAGGGAGCACCTGGTCCAGACAGGGCTCTGGCAAATGTCAAACTATGTTCTGTGGGTCAAGGACCGAGAGTTTCAGCCAGGGGAGAGAGTCTGGGTGATTATTCTGCGCTCCCAAGCTGGACGATGAACAGACGGGACACTGCCTCATGATGGAAAAGCTCCCAGACATGGTCTATCTGGATCGCCTGGCTCTGTGTCTGGAGGATCAGGATAAGTGCCCTAATCCTCAGGGCCTTCCAAAGTGATGCCCCCAAGGACCCAACCAGTGCTCCCCAGTCACCAGAATGCTGCCAACACTCCTCAGCAGGTTCAAAATCCCCTTAATGCCCACTGGTAACTTGGGAGGATCATGACACCCTGATAGCATAAGCAGAGAACCCACAAACTGTGCATCACTCATAAAGATCATTTCAAAACCTTCAACACTCCATCGGAAGTTGAGTAATATATGGCTGGAATAAAGAAGTGACCCAGTCGAGTAGCAGATGAGTAACATATTTCCATGTAGCCTGTTCATTTGCAGCTGGAACTTTGAACAATTCACACTTGGAAATTACATTTAAGTTGTGAATAACGTTATGACACTCTGTTTTATTTACTTCAATTGTCTAAATCACTAATGAGCTTTTTAATTTACGTGACACTTCGCTGCCTTTGTTAAAGCTGTTTGTGTGTGAGCCGATTTTCTCTTTTCTCATGTCCGATTTCAGGTCAGACACAGCTTCTAGGTTTTTAACAATTTCTTTTCCCTAATTCATGACTGCCTTTTTAACTTATGACTTCATGACTTGATTTTGAATTGTAATTTATGACCATACCCCAGTTTCCCTTGTTTACAAAGTTTCAAAAATGACTAAATGAACTTATAGATGGCGACTACATTCAAAATGGCTTTGCAGTTCAGAGTTCATGAAGTTTATTGGAACTAACATTGATTTATTTTTTTTCCATCAATCTGAAAGAAACTTCTGCTTATAAGGTGGGAACCATTCAATGCCTATATAAGAGGGCAAATCATTAGTTACACTAGTTCACAAACTAACAAAAATTAGATTGAAACTGTATTCTTTAGAAAACAAAATTAAAGAGTTTGAACAAGAGGTGCATAAAGACAAATCAAGCCCTAATCATCTTCATCAAGAACAGCTCTCTCTTTGGGCTCAGTGCAATGAACTTTCTCTTTCGAAGGCTGAAAATAGTCTTATACACCTTAAACAGACATTTTATGAGCAAGGAAATAAGTCAGGGAAACTGCTAGATTGGCAGCTTAAAAACCTTGAGTCAAGCAGAGCAATCAATAATACTCAAGCGGATTCTGGGAAATATTAACTAGAGAGATAAATGCAACTATTTTTTCAATCTTTGTATAAATCTGAAACTTGAGGGTCTTGGAGAAGCTAAATACATTTTTAGACAGCCTTTCTGTCTCTCAGATGAAGCCAAAATTCATTAAACAAATATGAATAATACAGACGTGTAGCTTTGCTTAATACAAAAGTAAAAATTACTGCTAGAATTTTTGTATCAAGACTAGAAGTACGTCTTCTGTCTCTTATTACAGTTGACCAAAATGGTTTGGTACATAATAGACATGTGTTTCATAATATTAGATGAGTCTTGAATATTATTTATGAAAAGGAGTGAGTCATAGATACTTGTATCTTATCTCTGGATGAAGATAAAGCATTTGACAGTTACCAGTTTGATGAACTGTCTTGTTTTGGGTGGTGACTTGTCAGTGGGTCAAACTACTGGACTGTGAACCAAAAGCTAAGGTTGCCACAAATAATTAAATCTCTAAACCTTGTAGTATTTTTTGTGGAATGTGCCAAGGCTGCTCATTATCTCCATCCTTACTTGCTTTTGCTCTTGAACCTTTGGCTATTGTAATTAGAGCCCATCCAAATACTATAGAAATTAGTGTGTTTGAAAAACTGCTTCCCACCAACTCCGAACCAGTAATTACTCAGATACAGAACAGCATTATTAGATGTGTGTCCCTCCTTTATACTTTGATTGAAAGTCAATATAAACATACTCCCCAAATTTTTGTACTTGTTTCAGTCTATACTTGCACCCCTTCAATTTTTTCTTACAAGAAAAGGCTCTTTAATAACTTTATTTGGAACAATTGACAGCCAAGGCTTCGTTTGTCATTGCTTTATCTGCCATACAATAGAAGAACTTCCCAACTTGTAACAGTATTTCTGGGCAGCCCAACTGAGGCCATCTTTCTTTTGGTTCTGCACTTTACCCTATTTATCATGGGTTCAGATGGAGAGAAGTGCTGGTGGAGAACTGGATCTCAGCACTTATATGTACTCTGACTCCTTAAAGGCACTAAAGCAAAAGACACCCAACCCATTTGTTATAAACACTGTTAGGGTCTGGCAGGAAGTACAAATTATGCTTGGAGAGATGCCTGCGTTATCCTAGTTTTCCCCAGCTTGGGGAAGTGCAATATTTACTTCTGGTAAATCTGATTCTGGATTCAAAATGTGGGCACAGATGGGTTTAGGAAAAGTGTCAGACCTCTAAGTTCATAGAACCCTGATATCTTTTGAAGGTCTTAAAGAAAAATTTGGCATTTCAAAGACTAATCTTTTCAAATGTTTGCAAGTGTGAAGTTTCTAAAACACACTCCTTACAATGCCTACCTTGAACTATTATTGAACAAATAGCAGTAAATGACCCCTTCTCAAAAAAACAACAAATCACTCATCTATATAGAAAACCTGCAAATGTATCTAAAGAATCCTCAGATTATGAAAGACTGGCATGGTGCCAAGATCCCAGGTAGAAGTTTAATCTTAACATTCCAGATATTTGCATAAAACATAACAGATATATGGGGACCCCACTGCATTATATTTGGAGTGTGAATTTTTGCAAAGATTTGGAAAAAAGTAAAGCAAAGTTTGCAAAATTATTGGTAAGGCAGTTCCAGTATGCCCCAAGCTTTGTATTTTAGGTCTTATCCCAGAAACATTGTCATTAAGAAACCACAAACCCACACTTATACATCTCTGCATACTACATACTGCACTATATATATATATATATATATATATATAAAAGCAAATAATTATATAAGCATGGTATGGCATTTTTGATGCCCTGTATTTATAATAAAGGGGTCACTAAAACATAAATAAAACACAGTTTGGCTTTTTAATGTAAAAGGTTATACAAAATAAAACAGAAAACAAAATAATAACTGATAATCCAAAAGAATGTGGCTAATATGTTTTTTCATTGGAGGGTCTCTGATATTTGACACATCATAATTTTAAAATTACTGTAATAATTTTAAATACCAGCATAATTTTTAAATACCGTGGTATATCTTATTACCGCTATACCGCACAACCCTAGTACTAAGGTGCTTTCGATCCATAAGGGATAGAGACGGGTGGGGTGCGGTAAGGGACTACATTTTTACAAAACAGGTGGTAAGAGTACCACACTGTGCCAATGTGCTGTCTGATTTCTGTGTCATGTTGCTCCAAATAGTTTGTTTCTTTGAGAACTGAGAAGAACTTCCTTCCACCCCATCCATTCATCCATTACCTGCGTCGCCCCACCAGAGTCTGGTCAGGGTCAGGGTTGCCGGACTGTGGGCTGCGGGCCGCCAGAGAGGCAAGTGTGTGCTCTGCCGACGATGCCACAGCACGTGCCACGCGTTGGGGTGTGTGCGCACACACGCCACTCACCTGGGAAAAGAGGAGAGGAGGAGGAGAGTGTTTAAATCTTTCATTCCTAGACATGAGACTGGCAGAATTCCAAGAGGGAAACCAATTAATGTGACAGAACGTCCCTGAAACTTTTCCCCTTATTCAGCTTAATCGCTCGGCTTTACGCCGCAGCCTTCTCCTCCTGGTTTGTTTATTTCGGGGACGGGGTGACAATGGGATTTACATAACAAAACGACTCAATTGTTGGGCTCGTCAGCCACTTGCACTGTGTTCTTTCAATAATCATAACCCTCCGCAGACCTGCCGCGATTAAAACAGCCTCTTGTTCCTCTGTTCTCCCTGATAAACGCCATTGTTTTTATATGCGACGACATCATAATAATAAACAAGGAGGCTCTCTCTGTGGCGGGAAGATAATAGAAGGCTTCCATTGTTTTCAGGAGCAATAAAAATGCAAATGCTCGTTAATGTTTGGCTTGTGGTTTAATGAATTGCCGCTGGTTTAATTTCCCAGGGGGACTGGGTCTCGGGCTTAATTCTGCCGTGTAATGTTAGCAGCTAATTGTGCCCGGCTGGCCGTAAGTGAATATACAAGGCCGGGTACACGGGCTCCGGAATACTGATGGGACCAAAACGAATTCGGACATCTTGATGAGAGGAAGGGAGGACACGACAAACTCACACACAAACATACACAGAAGCTCTGAAAATCCACAGCAAGTGGACGAATGAAGAGCACTAACATACCTATCAGAGATATGACTGAGCATCACTGCTGTACACAAATCACTATAAAAGCCATACATTTGAAACTTTCACTTCTGTGATCATAAGACGGACAAGAGTGTATTGGAATTTTTCTTGGTGGAAGTGCATAGAATCATTCCCACATTCTAGCACCCACATCCTAGATTCTTCTTCTATTTGATTGTTTTCTGAACTGTTTTCTGATAGTTTTATGAACTGAAAACAGTCATAATTCACTTTTACATGACTCTTTTCCAACCTCTCTTTATTCCTGGCTGTGTTTGTTACTGTACCTATAAGATTGATATCTGTAAATGACTGATTGGCTGCCCTGTGTTGCACCTCATTCAGAAAGCAGTCTGGGCTGAAACATTCCTTAGAACTTTTAAGTAAATGGGTGGGGCTGAATGGCTATAGGCTGAATAGGTGATTATACATAGAAATGGGATGGTTTTTGTAACATCACAAAACAATGAGTGCATGTACATGCACTTTGTAATCTGATAACTGCAGAAAATCAGATTTTGTCAGTGATCCGATCAATGCGGTTACATGAGTAACATTGAGTAACCAGAATATTATGGTAAACTCCGGGTCTACACAATTCAGGCAGTAATCGGATTTCTGCTTTGCAACCAGCCAATAAACTCACAGAAGAAACTGATAACTGCAGAAACCGCAGTTTTGGCGGTTTTCATAAATTTGTTGCATGCATTGAGGAGTGAACATTGTATTTTGAAAAAGAAGGACAATTTGCTTTTCAGTGATCAGTGCCTTTTAAAACACAACAAACAGAATACACAGACAGGCCACTTCATTAAGTACATGTTCTTATATCTACACTCATTGTTCAAGATATCAGCTACACTTACCATATAGGTTCACTCTGTAATTTTACAATTATCGCAGCTATGTGGCCACCTGGGCCGACCGCTCATTCAGTACTGTACGGTAGCTACATGACTGCCTGGGATGGCTGCTTGGGTGATGCTGCATTGCAGCTATGAGGCTGCCTTGACCGGCGGTGTTTGGCTGCATCTCCAATGTTACCCCTTCGTGCTAAGGACTTTCTGGGCTACGAAGCTTCCTCAGGCAACTCTGGACTCTTTTTTCTGCTACCTAAGTGACTCTATATTGTAGCACACTGCCCCCACACCCACCCCTGAGCTGTGGCAAGTGTGTGTCTGTGTGGGTTGTGCGTTGCTTTACATATTGCTGATTGCGTATTTTGTTACTTTTGTAAAGTGTCCTTTACACTTTTATTATTATTTATCTCCTATCAGTCTTAAAGGCACAGTAACAAAAACAGTCTGTTTAATTCAAAGGAATAAAGATGGAAAATGGTAATGTTAAATGAATTATGACCATTTGTCTAAGTAAAACCACATTATACATGTTATAAGTGGATGTCATGGGGGAAAAAAATGTAGGATATGGGCCTTTAAGTACTGACCATATCCCTCATGCCCAATGTTGTAATGTGACATAATTTATCATGATAGCGATGAATATCGTCATATTGCCCATCCGCATCCGCAAGCTTTTGTGCATTCACACACACACAGAACCAGTCTGATACCGCTGTTGAGCTCAGTGATATAATCATCAGTGTAGATCAATGAAAGCTCTTTCTAGCAGGCAGACTCCAGAGGGAACCGAAATACTGCTGAAGCACATGTAAAGACGGACAGAGAGAGAGAGAGAGAGAGGAAGAGATAGAAAGAGAGAGAGAACCTGGTGATCACACCATTTATAACACAAACGCAGTCCTGATGCAACACACTGCATTTCAGCGCAAGGCCAGACTCTCTGCAATACTCACAATCGTCCCAAACACACTCACACTCCCACTAATTCACACCCACCACGTACACACTCTCCCTCTAATGCTCTCTCTCTCTCGCCTTGCTCTGGGGAAATCATTAGCGGCTGGCCTCTCTCTGCGTAATTTCGCCGCGTGCCCCTGGCCTTGATTAATGCAGCTGGGGCGTGTGTTTCCCCTCCGTGTTTGTGGGCCGCGTGCAGGGGGCTCTGGGGAGCTGTGGCGCAGGGGAGAGTAAGTGTGATTGTTTCTCTCATTAGCAGAGCATCAGTAACAGGAGAGGCGGCGGCCGTGCTGCTAGATAACACACGAGGAGATAAGAGCCATATCAGCGAGAGGGCCCTGAAATATCCACCGCCTTTTATCTGCACCTCGCACACCCCGCGACAGCAGAGAGAGAGAGAGCGAGGCCAGACACACACACACATTTTCACTCATACAACAAATACACAGACACATGTGTTGACAGAAGCACACACAGCCCAGCTGCCCCGAAATATTATGAATACAGCATGTTTATTAAAGCTCATACTCACACTGTAAATGGCAAAAGATTAGAATATACGTCACATATTCATACTAACATATAGTCATGACAGGCTTCTAAAAGTAGTCACTGGTGTTCATAGATTTAACTCTCATTTTCACTGTGATGTGTTTCTAACAGTGGTCATGGGTTTCCATAATCTATTTGTCATTTGTTGCTCTGAAAGGCTTGTAAGAGTAGGGGAACTCTCAGGGCCTTCAAAGAAGGCCTAATGATTTATGAAAACTAAAAAATACATGTCTGTAATTTTAAATAAACTTTTATTCAAAAGAATTATGCTAGTATTTAAACTCTGCAAGTATTACAGTACTATTCTTGTTTCATTGTAAAGTCTAGGATGGAAACCAAACCATTAAATTCTTAAACCACCCAGTGGAAAATTGGCCTGTCAGGTAATTATTTTTGTCCTTGGTAGCTAGGTAGACATAGCTAAGCAAGCTCCTCTACTGATTATGACTTTAAGATCTGCAGAAAAGACCTAATGTGGTAGATTAACTATCAGCATAATTATGAAGTGACAGCCAATCATGTTTTGATTTCCAATGACCAATTTCATGTGAAAAAAAAGTCACTCTAGGCCTTCTGGAAGTTCTATATACATCACTGACTGAATACCAGCAGCAGCCCAATTAGTGGGCTGTTAGAAACAGAAAATAGCAGTGGCAGCTCTATACCAGCCACTGCCTGTGTTTAATCTGGAATTACCTTCTTTGAAATTTCCATCTAACCTTAAAGGGTGCAGCAGTTACATTCTGATGCCAACAAATTTTCCGTTCGACCTTAAATACTGCAGTGCTGCACTGTGTATGGAAAATTTAAACAAGAAGTTATCAGACTAGTAAGAACATGTTCTTTTCTATCGCCGTTAGCTTAATGCTAACAAACTACTAGAATCCTATAAGGACATTAGCTAAAGTTAGCATTGTAATTGATGTGGGTTTCGACCGAACTTTAACATTTATGGCCCAATCTAAAGCCTAGCTCTAATATTCATGGTTCGTCACTAACAGTAGTCACTGGTTTCCATAGATCTATATGTCATTTGTTACTCCGACAGGCCTCTTAGGCCCTGTTCACACTTCGCATTAACATCCATCTTGAGAGATCTGATCATAAGTGGACAGCGAGACGTGGTGCCATTTATATCTGGTCTTTGTCTCGAATGCATCTCCAGTGTTTGGAATCAGAAGGGTACCACCCACGTCAATCTCTTGTTTGTTGTAAGACAAAAATGTACTGTGAGTCCATGTTCATGTGAATGAAAGGGCTTTTATAAATGTTGAGACCACATGAACTGCTAATGCAACTCGTAAACAAACAGTAGAGGAGGCAAAAAATTAAGCTACACAGCTGCTTTTGTCTCTGCTATGATGACGCAGCTAAATAAGGTGGTCCTTCACTACTGCCCAAATTGCATGAAGATGTTCTGTGGTCATATGCGTCCCCAAGCACCTCCGAAGGTCACATGTTAGTGCTGAGTGTGAATGAGGCCTAACAGCAGTCACTGATGTTCATTGATTTAACTTAAACAGTCACTGGTTTTTACAGATCTATTTGTCATTTGTTACTCTATTAGGTCTCTAACAGTAGTCAGTGTCAGTAACAGTGACTGTAACCAAGGTACGAAATACAGGGAGTCCTGTGGGGTCCGGGACCCTCTAATTAACCTCTTGGAACCCAGAAATGTGCCAAAATCAAACTTCTGGAGGGTCCCTGAAAATAAACTTATTGTGATGTAAAACAGATGCTCAAATACTAATTCAGGGAAAGGTCACTGTTAAGCTGCTTCACCCACAGAACAGTGAGCTTCTATCTATGGCATTCTTAACTAACTAGAGATGCAGCACTGGTCTGCCTCAGAGTGGCACTGTAGCAAATTGGTTCACCCAGCTGGTCCTTCAT